GAAGAAATTAATTGGTAATATTTCAAATAAAATACATAACAATTTTCAAAATTGTCTATATAAAATATTATATATTACAAAAAAATCATAAATAAATAAATAAATTGTATATGCTTATAATATAAGAATATTTTATATAATAATTTAATATTCAGTGGTCAGTATCTTCTTTTTACCAATACTAGCGAAATTTTTGAGTTTGAGTAAAAAAAACATACCAAAGCTACACTAAATTTACATTAATTATGAAATTATAATGATAAATTTTACAAAAAAACTGTGAAATTATTTAATGTTCCGTTTTTAACAAATTCTCAATTTTTCACCATGTCTATCTTCAATAATACACAGTATTTTATTAGTTATATGAAATTTAGTATTGTATTAAATTTTTATTTATTGTGCATTAGTTTGACATTAAAAAAAAAATTTTCTTGTATGTCAACCATCTCTTTGTTTTTTAAATGTATTTGTAGAATATTGCTTAAATGGCTCTTCCACTGTAACATAAAATTAAAAAATATTTGAAAATAAAATAAATAAAAAAAACTTTGAATATTAATTTAGAAAAATTTCCATAATTTTTGTTAATATTAGTGTTTGAGATATATTAAATATATGTATAATTTAGGTAAATACCTAAAAGTATTTGACACCACATAAATATTTAAAAATACTGCATGATATTGTTTTAAAATAACTAATATAATAAATCTTAAATGTGTGTAATTTTCTACGCCGTGTACTCGTTATTCAATTGTTCCAATGAGAGTTTATAACATTTTTAATGTAAGAATGTATGATTTAAATCTTCTCAATTGATCTAGAATCGTTTAACTTCGAAAAGTTATTACAAATCAATGTTTCAACGGATAAAGAAAATATGAGATCCAAATTTCATAAATATTAATGATTTTATCTTTTTTCTATAGAAAAAATGAATTTTTCATCAAAATTTTCAACAATTTAATTACATAATATTAATATATTAGAGATGATCAAATACTTCAGAAATTTTAATTGGTAGGAGTAAGTTTTTAATACTTTGTATCTTTGCGAGTAACGTATTATAAGGTATACGAACTTTACATCAAACCTAACTATAACTTACTCTAAAAACTACATACATAAAATATAAAATTAAATTTGTACCATTCATTTTTAAAGCTGAAATTATTATAATAATATATGTTCCTAATTCTTGTTACATAAATAAATTATATTAATATTCTTTATTAATTATTATAAAAAATATTTATGTTTAAAATTATTCAATAAATTAATAAATCAGCTTACCAATTAGCTATTTGACTTGCCATACATTTTTGACTCACTATATCATAACTTGTTGCATAAGCACAATTTATAATGTGTGTATAATTATTCCGACAAAGTGTTACTGAAGAACAATCAGGTGTCAATCTATATATACTTCTGTGATTACATCGTACACCAGTATTTACTATACCTAAAGGAAAATGTTATAATGCACCAATAAGTACAAGTGATAAATAGCCATTTTTTCAAGTAATAAAATCAATTACTTGGTGGAATTCTTCGTAAATTATAATTATATGCTAATGGCTCAGGGATTGATTCTGAAGTTGGTGCAATCGGTGATGTTGAAATAACTTCTGTAGTTGGAGAAGACTCTGCTGATGAAAGTGTCGATGATGAAGTAGTATACGATACTTCTGAGCTTGTTTCAAAAATAGTAGTTTGGCCAATTTCGGTTCCAGTTTCTATGGGTTCTGGATTACTAGGTAAACCTTTACAATCGACACGATATGGATAGTCACAGATTTTCAAATCCTAAAATTTTTGTTTGATATAAAAAAAAGATGAAAACGATAAAAGTATACAAATATACTTCGTTGTAATTTGTTCCACCGGGACATATAAAGTCAACAGGTATTCCTGCGACACAAACATAAAACGCTCCACAATTTTCTTTGCTACGATATGTACCATAACCATCTGGACATTTAGTGTTATTACCTCCACTATTTAAACTACTTGAAGAATCTGAAACATTTCATATGTCATTTGAAATGGGTATGATAATATAAAAAGTATTTCAATACCTAAGAACACAGTACTAAGTCCATTTTTTTAACTTTTAGATATTGATACAATAAAATTAATAATATTGTTAACCATCTATAATTGGAAAAATTAAAATACCGCTCATATGTTCTAAAGTGTTGATACATTGGAATTCACTTTAAATTACTATAATATCGTAATGTTTATGCAAATATTAATTGCTTGAAGAAAATATAAACAGTAGTAATTAATAGAACTATCAACTATATAATTATTTTCTAAAAAATTCATATTTTCTATAAAACTAATTTTTATAATGAACAATAAAAAATGAATAATTGAATGATTATTTAAGAAAACGTACCTCCTGTTGAAGTAATTGGTTTTCCACCACAATCTACATTTGGAGGATAATCGCAATATTGTTTTTGTGCATTAAAAGCTAATTCAGCAGGACAAGATTGTTCAAATGCCGTGTCATCCCAACAGTTAATAAATGTATTGCAAGATTTTTCACTGGGGAACTGCCCTCTAGGTTCTTTACATTGAGCTTTTAAGGATTCTGTAGAGGATGATGATGTATATTCGACTTCATTTGTAGGTTGTACAGTAGAATTAACTATAATTTCAGGTTCTGGTGGTCGAACTATAAAATTTTTGATTATAATGAAGATTTTACAATTAAAATACAGATAATTTTTACTTACTTGTCGGAATTTCAGTAGATGGTTCGATTGGTTTAACTGTCACTATTTCTTCTGGTTGACCAGGAATTTGTGGTGCAACTGTTTGTTCAGATGGTATTACTTCAGGTAATTCTGTGGATATTTCTGGTTTGTAAGTTGTAGTAGTGTCAGGTTTATCAGTTGAAATTTCAGGAGCTTGTGTGACTTCAGGTATATCAGGTTCAGCAACACTTGGAAGTGGAGTACCTGGAAAATATGGTGGTTCTATAGTAATGGGATCGCCTTCTTCTGATTGAGGCGCTGGTCCATTTGTTTGTGAAAAATCTGGTGGACTAGGAATGGGTTGTGCTGGGTTCGATGGCTCTTGAGGATATGGTGCAGGTTGTGGATATTGTGCAGGTTGTGGATATGGTGATGGTTGAGGATAGGGTGATGGTTGTTGATAAGGTGGAGGATAAGATTGTGATGCATATGGTGGTGGATAAGCAGGGTAACCATATGATGGCGACGGATAATATCCATTAGCAGGAACTTGTATCCACACAGCTGATGGTGATTGCCCAGCAGATTGAGATGCAGAAGAAGGAGCAACTGTTTGACCATTAACTACAGCAATTTGCCACTGTTGGATTTGTTGGCGTAAAAATTCTTCATATTCTCTTTTCAGTGTATCGTCAACAGGCTTTGGTGGTTCTGGAAAATATAATATTAAATATTAAATAAATGAATATATTTTTCCTATAAAATCATATTATAATCTCAACAAATTATTTACTACATTACTAAGCGTCCTATTACATTTTAAAACTATTAAATGACTATTTAGGTTCAAAAATAATTCAATAGTGTTATTCGTGATGTTTCAGTTGTTTTTTATGGAGTGTTGTGTCTACTATTTTTACTATATTTATGTTTTACAAGTAAAATATATTAAAAGCTGCAAAAATCCCCCCAAAAAATATTTTAAACTTTATTATTTTATTTTTTTTAAAATAATAGAATTAAATATGGTACATATACCAATATATATGACTATATGTTTAATATATAAAATAGGCATAAATAATTGAAATAGAAAATTATAACAATACAAAAAACGGTTATTTTTTTATACAATATAATAAAATAATATTATAGTTTACTAAGTTTATAGTTACTCATAGTTAAATAAGGTTGAGCACATTATCAAGCGTGAAGAGATAAATTTTTGTGGTCTCAAAATGGAGCACCCATTAAGTTCAAAACACTAATTGTAAAATGATTTCCAAATTAATTGATAATATAATTTCAATTCAGCCAATCCCATAAAGTTTACCTGAAGACGCTGCTAGAATCTACCACTACATTGGTTTTATGTTCATATCGACTTTCCTGTCCATTTTGTACGAAGAGCTCCATAAATATAACTCAAGTGTTATTTATTTATATTTATTGCTTAAACATTAATGTGTAAGCGTTTTTGTAAAATTTCATAATTTCACCTAAACACATTACAGTTTTATTGGATATATCATTATAGATTAATGAACTTTGGCAAGGAAATTGTATTTTTATAGAAACAATAAGTTAAAAATAATGATAGAAATTCAATTTTAAAAATTTAAAAAGCATAAATTTTCATTAAAATTAAAACAAACTAAGCTCATATTCAAAATCTGAAAAAGGACAAAAGTGATTTTTATAAATGTACAGAGAAAGGTACTTTATATCGTATAAAATTTTATTGGAATGATTTGTTTTTTGCACTTCAAACATGTTTATTTGTATAAGACACAATTGAAATTTTAAATTTGTTATTGGTCTCTTGAAAAATTACTTCTTCTTTTTCCTCGCTTTAATCCCAACTACTTGAGGTCGGCCACCCTTATCCTAAACTTCCACTTGACACGATCTCCAACATCAGCTGTCCTCAATCGCATTCAATAGCATCCCTCCATCTTTTTTTTTTTGGTCTTACTCTACCTCTTCTTCCTTCAACATTCATTTCTATAACTGTTCTTACAGCTTCCGATTCTTCTCTCCTCATAACATGACTAAATCATCTAAGTATATTTTCTCTCATCTTATCCACGATTGACGCTACACCTATACTCCCTCTTATATGCTCGTTCTTTATCCTATCTTCTCTAATCACTGCACTCATCCATCTAAGCATTCTCATCTCTGCTACACTCATTCTCTGCTCTACTTTCTTATCAACCGCCCAACACTCTGAACCATACATCATAGCTGTTCTCACTACAGTCTTGTAGAATTTACTTTTCAGCCTCATTGGAATTTGTATGGCATAAGACATCAGACGCTTCTCTCCACTTCAACCACCCGCAATTAATCCTGTGTCTTACATCTTCGCCAATACCACCAATCTTTTGCACAACCGATCCTAAATACTTAAAATTTAACAGTTCTCCAATCACGTCCTCGCCTAATATCACTGGTCAACGTCATGTTCTCCTTTAGAAAACTCGTACTCTATGTACTACGTCTTACTTCTACTTATTCTTAAACCCTTTTGTTCAAGAGCTAATCTCCACACCTCTAGTGTTTGATTAATTTCCTCCATATTTTCTCCTATTAACACTATATCGTCAGTGAATAACATGCACTACGGCACCTCTTCTTGTATTTCTCTTGTAATTTTATCCATCACTATAGAAAATAAATAAGGGCTTAAAGCAGAACCTTGGTGCACTCCTACTCTTACCCGAAAACCATCTGATACGCCTCCCACACTTTTTACCCTAGTACAAGTGTCATCATACATATTCTCTATTATATTAAAGTACCTATTTTCGGGACTTCTTTTCTCATTAATGCTCATTTTAGAACCTCTCTCGGTACTCTATCATACGCTTTCTCCAAATCTATAAATACCATACAAAGCTTTTTCTTTTTTTCCCTAAACTTATCTATTATTTGTCTCACAAAATACTGGCTCCACTGTTGACTTACCAGGCATAAATTCAAACTGGTTTTTAGATACTGATGTCTCATTTCTTATTCTCTTATTAAAATTACTAAAAAAATTACTAAAAGTGACATATAATATTTTGGAACATTGCCAAACAAATAACTTTTTATTTAACAGTAAAAAATATTCAAACAAGTTTGTTAATGATTTTAATAAAGTTAAAATTCAATTTAGTGTTATAAGATTTCATAATATTAAAATTTTAGAGTTAATATTGTATTTGTTAATGACTGTATCAGTTGGATTTATATTTTTTTACAGACTATGGGTAATAGATTATTGATATATTTTTTTTATAATAAAGAAGTGCAAAAAATCTGGTTGATAATTTTACTGTAACCTTGACTCCTTTGACCCCTTTCAAGTGTTATCCGATGTTCTTTTTATATACACATACTTTTTTATTTTTAATTAACATTTAAGTAATGCTCAAACTAGGTAGAGAAAAAATTTTAATTTACTTGATCAATAACAAACAAATAATTAATCGTTATAAAAAAGTACTGTTTTTTTTACATATAATACAGATATTTTTTACATATTATGTAACAATGTGTCTAATACACATTACTGACAATAAAATTTGATATTCTATGATTTTTTAGTATAAAGTAATTAATCATTTAATTTATTCACTTATGTTTTAAACTTATTACAATTTAAAAATAAAAGTACATACCAACAAATTTTTATTTATTTTTTTATACCTACTTCAATTTCTATACTTACAATATATATTTATCATAATGCAAAAAATCACAAAATAAATTATTTAAAAAAATATTAAAAGTTTTAAGAAGTTTGCCATTATAAATTAAATTTACGAGTATGTAAAAATCTAATTGAATATTTAATATGTATAGACATTAAACTAATACTTGTAGCAATAATGTAATATAATACAGCGAAATAGTGATATGTTTAGTTTAAAGTAAGTACATCGAATATTTAAGAACGTATAAATATATTAATATATAATGAGATATTATTGTAATAGATTATTTAATACGTTTATTAAGATTTTACAATAAAAAATGATTGACATCTCTAATTAAATTGAATATTTAAATTATTTAATTTTTTATAAATTAGATAATAATATTATTTCACCAACGACAAGATGTCTCATTGTTTTAAAGGGTTTTAATATGGTTAATTTATCCTAACCGCAATCCTCATTACAATTAGATTTTTATGAAGTATTCTAGTTTCAGACAAGAGTAGATGAACTAATTTGTTTTAATATTTTATTCAATAAAAAATACATTAACGGTAAAATTAATTCAAGTTCCATTTTAAATGACAATTATATTGTATCTTATATTTAAATGTACGATATATTTTAGAAATATCACATATGTTCTAGATTGCTAATGTAGAAAGTATAATTTTTCTTTAAGACATAAAAACCCACAAGTAATGCCACTAAGCGTAGGATTTGTAATTTGATATTATAATTTATAAAATTGAAATCATGTTTTGAGATCAGCATTATGGATAGGCTTCCAAAAATATTAATAAAACCACCAATCACTGGGGCAAACTAATCAATTTTTAACTATAAAATTTAATACTTAATAAATTATTTATTAAAGTTTTTTTTAATATTTTGATTTTTAAATCAACTATGACGCCTAATAAGGAAACAAAAGCCTGCATTTTAGAAATTTAATGAAAATTCTACGACATATCAAATATAAAAATTGTTAAAGATTGGGTAACTGTCAATGATTATTGCCGTTACCATATTGATGATAACTATTAAAAGCAACAATAGTAAAAGTTAAAATTAGATGTAGCATTTATAATTCTATTGAATGAATAACCTTTGAAATCCGAAAAGTCATTTACAATTTTTATTAACACGTACAGACTTAATTGGTGTTTATGAGTGTCAGTCTAGCCTCATTAAACATTATATTGCGAAGACTATTAGTGTTTTATATTAAATTTACAAAATACACGGATAACCTGGTGACCCCTTTGGAAGCAATACAATCGAGTCACAGGAACGAGACAAGATTTTTGACTTGCTCATTATTACCTACGAGCACGACGTCCCATTTGATGTTCGACACGGAAACCATATAGAATCATCAACGAGTCTAATATTCTTTAATGTAACATTATTAATTTCGTTTTATGTAGATGACTTCATTAGTAATTAACTTATCGCTATTAAAAGCTTTTAACAATATTTTTCAATATGATGATTTTCTAGGATTATCGTACATGGGTAATCTACATATAAGTTACTATAAAATTACTCTATGCATATTATTATGTGCTCTTGAGACATAAGATTTGACTTTTATTCATTACTTTGTAATATTCGATAGTTTCATTTATTTTTATATCTAAGTAACTTAAAAACACGTTTAAAAAATACGCTATAAATAGTCATATTGAATACAAAATGGGCTAAAATAATAAAATTAAAAGTGATATATTCAACTTATATCGTAAAACTGCATTTCTGTAGTCGTCGAAAAATCATTATAATTTTATTCTTCTGTTTACAAGCTTAAATGTTTTGTATTATGTGTTTGAACACCATAATTCACGCCGCACGAAGAGATAAAACCGTATTCCCTAACATTAACGATCATGTTAGTTTTTCTAAACATGTTAGACTAATCCAATAGATCTTCACTTAGTACTTAAGAAGAAATCGAGTGAAAAATCGATGCAATCGAGAACTTAATTTTTACAGCTAATAAAT